GAGCAGAGCTCAACCCCCACAAGCACAAATAGGAGAATACAAGGAGAGCAAAGATAGAGAAGCTGATAAACTCGGCAGAAACATATTCTGAAAAATAATATTTTAGAGAAAGGTCTACAAGAGAAGCCGTCGTCCGCCACGGTAGCGCAAGATAGAGACCAACATGGCTACAAGACATGTACTCTTCCACACACACACACATGGCTACAAGACATGTACTCTTCCACACACACACACATGGCTACAAGACATACTCTTCCACACACACACACATGGCTACAAGACATACTCTTCCACACACACACATGGCTACTCACTTTTCCATATTTGAAGTAGTAAAATGTTTCCAAGAGGCCAGGAACGTGAAGCGAACAATAACATAACCTAGTGAGCTTAACCAAAATTATCCTATGTAAACATATTCTGGGCCTAGAGTATTATATGCCTATATACACGTTACATGACCCCAGGCCTACAGTATCGTGGCCCCGAGTTGAGGGAAGATGTTGTCAAAGATGACGGGTTCTGTCTTAAGTAAACCTTCGGCGAAGCTTCCTGGTTGTTAACAACGGTGAATGGTAAGTCACTAAATACTGTGTGTGTGTGTGTGTGTGTGTGTGTGTGTGTGTGTGTGTGTGTGTGTGTGTGTGTGTGTGTGTGTGTGTGTGTGTGTGTGTGTGTGTGTGTGTACTCACCTATTTGTGCCTGCAGGATCGAGCATCGACTCTTGGATCCCGCCTTTCGAGTCATCGGTTGTTTACAGCAATGACTCCTGTCCCATTTCCCTATCATACCTGGTTTTAAAAGTATGAATAGTATTTGCTTCCACAACCTGTTCCTGAAGTGCATTCCATTTTCCCACTACTCTCACGCTAAAAGAAAACTTCCTAACATCTGTGACTCATCTGAGTTTCCAGTTTCCACCCATGTCCCCTCGTTCTGTTGTACCACCCCCATCCAGTGGGATGTAACCACGCCCATCCAGTGGGAGGATGTAACCACGCCCATCCAGTGGACAAGGGCGGTGCTATACAGGTTCACTGACCCCTCGACCCTGTGGTCGGTCTGTGAACCCGTATTCCTTAAGAAGTAAGTGTGTGAGCAGTCTACAAGGGCGGTAGTAACCAAGTTATACTTTAAGGTACAGTCATTATAGAATACGGTATATTGTATGTGTAGGTTCTCCAACCTGAAGAAAACGGTCAAGTTTAAGTGTCCTCTCCTAACCTACCAGAGGACCCAAAACAGAAAACGGGACAGTACGTCACTTTCGCCAGCCGCTTCCATTTTCTAGTACGACAGTTTATTTTTTTTATGTAACGCATACGCGCGAAAAGCGACGTTCTTTACACACAGAAATGACAATTGCGTGATGCATCAAATGAACAAATCCACAAGGGCCGTGACGAGGATTCGAACTTCTTTTCCTCCTTCTTTGTAGGAGGATAGGTTGAGTGCACGGGCTAAGTCACTGTGCGGTGAGCACTGACAGGTAAGCACACTACCAACAGCCTCAGGAACCTGTACATCAGTTGATTGACGGTTGAGAGGCGGGACCAAAGAGCCAGAGCTCAACCCCCGCAAACACAACTAGGTGAGCACACAAGTGAAAGCTGGAGACGCAACTGAGCCCAAGGAATGTAAGAAAATACTCGTTCCGTGCACCGGTGGTCAACAAGTGGAATGCCCTGAGGAAAGAAGTTGTGGAAGCCACCTCCACCCGCATCTTGAGCGCCAGATTCGACGAGGAATTATAATGTCAGAATTAACTCCATTAGAACGCAACACGTACAACAAGACTAGTTTAGGCGGGGCATAACAAGCTAGATACTCACGTACTTCCCCCTAGACACTGGTGGGTAACCTCAACTACAACTATCCCTAACACCTTTATCGCTACTACCCACACTCCCCTATCCCCAGAAACAGGACCACATACCACCATCCGTTTAACCTCATCATTACACCCCCAGTAATCCCTGCCTCCCCCCCCCCACACACACACACTACACGCAACCAACCCACACAACTTTCACCAGCATGCCTGCTACCTAGCTAGCAGTAGACGGCCGGTAGACAACAGGAAGGCTGGGGGTAGATACCGGTAAAGTTAGGGGTAGATAGCAGGAAGGTTGGGGTAGACAGTAGAGAGCAGCCCGCCAAAACCAAAGTGACCTCGTGTCCATAGTGTCCCCCTCGTACAAGGAAGGGAGGGGGGGGGAGGGGTGGAGAAGAACACAATAAAATAAATCATTACTAACGCCACAACTCAAAGATTTCAGCATCCAAGGAAAACTTTAATAATGCTCGTATGTTCATCTCAGTGAGGGTTTTTTTTTATCATATGTTGCAAAGCCCTGGTGGGTAGTTCATACAGGTTCCTGTGATGACCTGCGGTTGGTTCAGATGATGATGATGATGAAGATTAAGCCACCCAAAAGGTGGCACGGGCATGAATAGCCCGTAAGTGGTGGCCCTTTTGAGCCATCACCAGTATCAATAGATGATACTGGAGATCTGTGGAGGTGCGACTGCACCCTGCGTGACGGGAGATGTCTCCCGGACCAAGTGGTGACCAAATGGTGAGGGGGGGGGGGGGGGTTGGTTCATATGTCTGATGACCCATATACTCCCTCCACCACACACACACACACACATACCTTCACCTCTCCCACATGTGTATTTAAGATAACTTTGCACTTAATATATCTCGGGAGACATCTCCCGTCACGCAGGGTGCAGTTACACCTCCACAGATGGCTCAAAAGGGCCACCACTTACGGGCTATTCATGCCCGTGCCACCTTTTGGGTGGCTTAATCTTCATCAATCAATCAATCAATTAATATGCCTCAATATATACCAGGTGAGACATCTTGAGTGGGACTCGAGGGGATCGAGGACTACCGCCACGAGACTGTCCTGACTCCACCAGTAACGGAACTATCAATTCCCGTTTACCGTTACCCTTTAGGAATTTATATTCCCTCAGAACTTGGATGATAGTGATGAGCTCGACCGCCCAGCCTACCAGGAGGGTTCGAGGCTGCTCCAGCCCTAAGGTAAGCCTCACCAGTGCAACAGTAGTGTACTCTAGTGCAGGCGACGCCTCTGAGTGCCACAGAGTGCCACTGGCGTGCCTCTACAACAACAACGCAGCGAGTATCAAGTACGAACACGGAAGTTGCGCGCTACCCTCAGCTACAAGTTGTGGATGCCTTCCTGCCTCACTCACACTCAACCAGTTTTGTGTGATCTTCGGACCCAGCATATTGCAGCTGTGGCTTAGTGCGCATAACCGGTCCCACGCCCCTCAGCGGGTCTTGGCACCGCAACTCTCAACCTCCGTTGGAGTTGTGCCGAGGTGGGCAACCTTTCCCCCATACCATACACAGGCCACGTTGACCAGACCACACACTAGAAGTTGAAGGGACGACGACGTTTCGGTCCGTCCTGGACCATTCTCAAGTCGATTGTTGACCATTCTCACAATCGACTTGAGAATGGTCCAGGACGGACTGAAACGTCGTCGTCCCTTCAACTTCAAGTGTGTGGTCTGGTCAACATACTTCAGCCACGTTATTGTGACTCATCGCCTGCACAGGCCACGTTGTGCTTAGCGAAGATGCACGAGACCGCATCATGCGCCGTAAACGTTCCCATATGTCACAAACTCACCGATCAAGACATTCATTAATTTAAATTGGTATGGAAGGGCTGGACCGAGAACAACAGAGGGGTGAAGGAGCCTCACCCTGGTGCAGTGTGTTCCAGAGATCTTCCTCCCACAGGGTGTTCTACAACATTAAATAAGAACAATTTTAAACAATTCTTCTTATTGTTGCGCCGCCTCCACTACGTCCACATATCACGGTATTAAAGATCATTTCTTGTAGCGTCCATATTAATATAACGTTCACTATATTGACATTACGTGCAGCATATGAACATTACGTTCACCATAGTTCCAAACTGAACAAATGTTTATTGTATTATATTAATCTGTGCCTACTGTTTATCTGTATTTATTATCTTCACACTCCCTGTGGACACTATCCATCGTTCGTCAGCGGCTCTCCAGAATCCGGATACCCTTTGTTATTGTTCTGCAGGGAAGAGTGCGCGTCTTCGCCAACACCCTATGTTCTGAGATCGTAGACAATAGTGTGTGTTAGACGCGCACTTTATTGTTAAGTGAACAGAGGCATCAGGCGTAGAAACTTCCCTCTTGAAAAGAGAACCAGGTTCCATAGTCGTCGCGAGCCGCCCCTAGATGCAAATAACGCCAATGATGCCCTCATTTAATCGTCTAGATTGATGAAGATTAAGCCACCCAAGAGGTCGCACGGGCATGAATAGCCCGAAAGAATCGTCTAAATAGCCCTGATGATTTATAGAGAGGAGGGGAGACACTCCCACACTGTCTGTTAAAGACAGTTACAGCCCCCGATCCTGTGCCAGGTAAGTCCACTACGGGCTCACCATAGCCCGTGCTACTTGCAACCTTTTGTTCCGAATAGCTGAATCTAAAACAATAACAACAACACTCCCACACGTCTAGAACCATACACAGACCACACCAAGTCCGTGCTGGAAGGTCAAGAAACCTAGTGGGACTGCTGGCAGGTCTTCAGGTGTCGGGGGTGGGGGTGGGAGGGGTTGGGGTGAGGTTGGGGGTCCCCAACATCCACCAAGTGTACCAAACTGAACTATATGTTTAACAGATCTCTAACATGGACGACAGAAGAAAATGTATATATACTAATTAGCATTGTAAATGTGTGGCCACGTCTGTGGTGGAAAATATTACAAAAAAAAGTGTACTAGAGTATAGCGGCTCCTTTCTTCTAAAAGTTTCTTTATTGTGCCAAAGAGAATGATTGACCTGGTGAAGAATGTAGTTACATTAGAATAGTGTTTAACTAGGAGAGTGTATAGGAGCATGATGAAGCGTGATCCTCATACTGGATCACGCTGGGATCTGGGCTTAATAAGGCTAAGATGAGACTCTTGCAGGGAGGCCAGGAACGTGTTGAACACGTCCATGACAGGACCAACAAGACCCAACCTTCACCTCACCAGACATGCCACAAGCAGGCGCCTCGTCGGTACGCCGAACCGGTGACCATCTTGTGCTTCTGCCAAGTACGATACGATCGTACAATAAGATACGATCACAATCGTGTGGAGAATGTTGCCAACCCAAAATTCCCCTTCCATCGAGGTTGTTAGTGATAAAAAGTTCAGACGAATCAGCAAGGCACCGTGGCCATTTATGGTTGTCCGAGACCTCTCGTACACCCGCGGACGACGTTTGATCGGCGTTTACACGAGTGGAGGACCAAAGGGTACGAATGGGACACGCTATATAGCTGCCCTCCTATAAGGGTCGTCTTATAACAACCAACCACGCGTCTTTACCCCCATCATCTTCTGACAAGACAACTTATAAGACGTTGAGGAGGAAGGCTGCGTTACTTAAAGCAGAAGAATGGACAACGTCTGCACCAAACTCGACAACCTAGTTAAGACCTTGGTGGTAAACTGAGCAAAATGTGTAAAAGCGCTTGTAAGGGAGGGAGCAGCCTTTACAAGCGCTTTGTTGTCCTCTCCGCCTAGAACTGTAACCCGTCATTCTCTTGACGAAACTGTCCGTTGGTTTGTACGTGGCGACCCAGACCACTTATGAGACGGCTTGATGGTACACTGCCACCAGAGAACCATCCACTTGCCCCTCGGGCGATGAATACCACTCCTACGCGACTTCTGAAGAGCATTTTTACCTTAGTATCATTAACTTTGTATTTATTTACTAATATTTACCTTATTCTTTCCCTCCTCTGACTATTGATGACCAGGAGAGGTGTCAAATGTGATCATATCCAGAAGCGCTGATGCCTCCTCCCCCGTCATTGTTTACAAACATCAGCTGACTCGCATGTTGTCTTTTTTGTTTACAAACATCAGCTGACTCTCACATCCCCCTTTTTTACAACCATCAGCTGACTCACACACCAGGCAAATCCAAAACGGGTTTGACACGTAAAGCTGGTCCGAGATTGAGGATCTATGTAAAGAGATTCACCGGTCAAGCCACTCAAATCTTTGCCCTGAGAAGTGGTTGTGAGGAAGGGGGGGTGGGGTTATGTTGGTGAAGTGGTTGTGAGGGGGTATTAGTGTACAACCCGTTCTCACACTTTCGTATAGTCAATATTGACTTATTAAATACGTGCCTATGTGACATACTAATTTATTGTCAATATTTTAGTTTACCTTGAAAAGCTTCATAGAAAACACAGACCTTACCTAACCTTCTTAGTATGTTAAGATAAGCATCTTATTGCTTCGTAATTACAATTATTACTTAACCTATTACAGGTATAGACCCCTCACAGTGACTCGCTGTTTTCTGTGGTTTACTTACTCCCTTATCCCTTATCCAGTGGAGTACCTTCCCTTTCACTCCTGCCTGCATCTCCAGCTTGTGCACTAGTCTCTTGTGTGGTACTGTGTCAAAGGCTTTCTGGCACTCCAAAAATATGCAGTCTGCCCATCCCTCTCTTTCTTTCTTGATTTGTGTTGCCTGGTCATATAAGTCAATTAATCTTGTGAGGCATGACCTACCATCCCTGAACCCATGCTGATGTTGCGTTACAAAGTTCTTTCGCTCCAGAAATTTGTGTGTGTGTGTGTGTTTATATTTACCTATTTGTATACTTATATTATGCCTACAGGATTGAGGAACGAGCTCTTTGATTCCCGACCTATTTTCTCTATCATGTCTACTATATACCACTGTACCAGGGTCATGTGACAACATGTATCAGTGCGTGTAATATATATCTACTGTATATTACAAGCTCACATTCTCAAGGAGCAGCTCAAAAAACAGCTATCCAACTCCCGGGTACCTATCAACTGCAAGGTGAACAGGAAACGCTGCCCAATCGTTTCTGGTTCGTCCGGCGACTAAACCCGGGTTCTTAGACTGTGAGCCGCGATAGAGAGAGGGAGAGAGAGAGAGAGGGAGGGTGTCGGAGCGTGTCAACAATGTGAAGACTGAAGGGGCCAGAGCCCGAGCTGTGGAGCTCACCGCCCACTGCTCTCTGGTCCTTGCGGTTCATTGAGAGCACGAGGACCAGGCGGAGGACCAGGCGGAGGACCAGGCGGAGGAGGACCAGGCGGAGGTGGACCATGCGGTGGACCAGGCGGAGGACCAGGCGGAGGACCAGGCGGTGGACCAGGCGGAGGAGGACCGGGTAGAGGACCAGGCGGAGGTGGACCAGGCGGTGGACCAGGCGGTGGACCAGGCGGAGGAGGACCGGGTAGAGGACCAGGCGGTGGAGGACCGGGTAGAGGACCAGGCGGAGGAGGACCGGGTACAGGACCAGGCGGAGGAGGACCGGGTAGAGGACCAGGCGGTGGAGGACCGGGTACAGGACCAGGCACCTCACACAAATATGACAAGCGTAGTTTTTAACGACTCTAAATGAAAGTTTAAATCTTCACATAATTTTAAAGGATTACAATAAATATTTCTAAGTATCCTTTTAAATTTGTAATACAAATTAAATGAATTAAGAAGTTAAAATATAAAAATGATCCAGAAAATTACGTCTGAAAATTACATCAAAATTGCATGAAAAGCAAAGAATACACTCACGTGTATTACTTATCATGTAAGTATCTTAACATATACTATTTAAAGATATTTTTATTATTATTATATATATATATATATATATATATATATATATATATATATATATATATATATATATATATATATATATATATATATATATTGCTATTTTTGTGCATCGAGACGGAAAATAAAAATATAAAAATAAAAATACTTAAAGCTGGTGTATTTCCCTCAAAGTTTAAAATGTATATAAACATCTTGGCTTTATTTTGCTTTATAAATAAAACGCGTAACTTTGGACATTCATTGAAAATTCCCCATTTAAATGGACCCGTTTTTATTTCGAACACGAAATAAAAAATAGATTTTCGATAAAGTTTCTTAAACTTATTCTGATGCGAGTCATATGTAAAAGTATTTTCTTTAATAAATATGACTGACGGCTGGAAGACTAAAGAAGTTTTAGCCAGTGTTTTAAGGACAGGTTGAGGTTCTCTCGTGTTCTGATCAAGAACTTTAATAAGGCAGTTCACGGTCTTGCCTCCGTCAATTGACACGCCTTAACAATCCCATCCAAGTTTTCGGGAAAAATTCCTAGCAAAAATGTATTATGTTCCAAACAGCGAAGTCCATTTATAAAACCAGGACACCGAATCTCCTGAGCTGTTCTCGAAGCTGGCGTCAAGTTTCCACAGCCTTCCATCTTCACTGGGAATGTGTCTCTCACAAGAAAATATATAAACCTCACCAAAATATCCCTAAGTCTCCCATCACGGTTCAGAGCCTACACAACGCATCATCAACGACCCCACTCCTACGAGAAGAGAAAAATAGGAAAACCCTTCTTATCGGCTCCGTCACGTGATGGAGACCCGAGGTATGCAAAGTGTGACCAAGCGTCCCCCGGCCATTGCCTTACATGCTTCTCGAGCTCCCCACCGGCACTGTGAAGCGGCCACTTCCCTGCGGTCCCGAGCCAGGAAGGAGAGGGCCTAAATGCGGAAATTAGCACTGATAAACAGGTACTCTCGCCCCTGTTCGCCAGGTGTTTGGGCCGCTCCGGGCGGCAGACCAAGCCAACGCTCACAGGGATGAGATCTTTGCACAAAATAATATTTACACGCACACATGAGCACTCATTTAACCAAAAGGTAAGAGCCGTGCCAGCATACGAGGCCCCGGATAAGCAGGAAAGCACAGGGGGTAACCACGGCTTCCCGAGGCATAACTATGCTGCACAATACACAGCCTGACAATACAGGCCCCAGGCGTGGCGGCCATTATAACCAGCTTGTCAGTCACCCTCCTTCCGCCTCCCTCAGATTACTTCAGATTCCTTCCTCCTGGCTGGGCCTGCCGACCCCTTTCCCTGTGTCACCGGGCCTACCTCCCCCCCCCACTGACTGACTGACTGACCACTCCACATGTCTAGGCTCTGTTAAGTTCGAGTTTAGCTTCCGACGGTCATGGTCGCCTACACATCCTTCACCAGCGTCTCACAAATCCTGGAACCCCCTTTCTCGGCCCCACACGCTCCTGCGTTCACTTATTAAATGACGTAGTGGGTCGACTCGGATAATTCCCCCCTCCCCCCCCCACCCCTCTCTCCGCTCCATCTGCTCTTGTTCATGCTTCAGTAACTCTCTAGGCGGAAAGTCGTTCAGTTTCTTATTTGAAGTCACGAGTTTTAGTTTTTTAATAAGGTTAGTTATGAAGCCGCCGGAGCAAGAGAAGTCAACCCAACGTAACCACAACGCTCTTTAGATTAAAAATACGCCTTTGCAACATTGTGCAAGTATACGTCGCTGCAACGTTCTTACAACATTGTGTATACGTCGCCGCAACGTTCTTACAACATTGTTCTTAAGTTGTAGATTTGGTGGAAAATTACTAAACAGCCAAAACAGCTGGAGCTTCGTCTTATCTTCAGGAAAAGAATATACTTTGTGTTCAATAAATTGCAAATAAATTCGATTCGCCACAGTTGTTGTTGTTGTTATAGTACTCACAGTTTCCCAGGTGACTGGGAATACTCTCACAAGACTCACTCATTGGGGCTTGAGCACACGTGCACAGGTGTCTGAGCACGTGTGCACAGGTGTCTGAGCACGTGTGCACAGGTGTCTGAGCACATGTATACATACACGCATCCTGAGCGCTACTCTTCACATATACACATTCTCTGGTAATATATATCATAGTTTAATTCTCCATGTTATCGAGGTAACAAAAATTAAATTTTATACACAAAAAGATTTATATAAACCCCGCAAGTCATTCCCATTATATTTCCCGGAAGTCTCCCGGTGTAGCCCCCGGCACTGATCCTCTTCCTCATCCCTCTGCCTTTACCACCTTTTCTCATTTCCCTTTCATCCTTGTCTTCCTCTGAAGTCCGGATCAACATTCTGCCTCCCTTTTCCTCTATTTCCTCATTCCTCTGTCGCCTCCACGAAAGATTTCGGAAAGTATTATGAATACTTTCTTTCAGTGAAGAAAGTATTCAAAATACTTTCAAATAACAACCAGTCTCTATCCCCTTCCCCTATTTCACGTTGGTGTTAGTTCACGATACACACTACCTGTTTTTCGGGTGAAAAGTCAACATTTACCACTGTTGTTGTTGGCACTTGGCACTCTCCAGGAGCCGCGGCCATCAGGGTTCCCCAACACAGGTGGTCGCAAACGCACGCCATGTACACTAACATATGCAGATACATCCCGTCTTATTTGGTCTAATCTAAGGTAGTTTCGTCCCTTCTGTCCCCTGAGAGTCGACCGCGTCTGTCCCCTGCAGTGTTTAGCGTGGCGCTACGGCAGTAGGCACAGAGAGTTTGTGCTGGGAAAAGAGCAAGCGTTCCCCACGAGAGGTAATCAATGCTCTAGGCTCAAGACCAGACTGACAGGTTAATAAATGCTTTCCTTGTTACGGCACACAGCTTGTACTACCCGTGTTCCTCGACGACACGAGCCACGACACCAGGCAGGTGCATGGAGGCGAGGGTCCAGCCTCCAGGTAAGTGCGTGACCCTGCCTCAACGCTGGGGAATGCCTCAGGGCGAGGCGCCTGGATATGGCGGTGACACAAGGCCAGGATAATGATATTAAGGACACAATAATACAAGTAGCCATACAATGGGATAATGTTCTCAGGGACAGGACTGCGCAAGGTATGACGGCTCGGATCAAAGAATTGTTAAGAGGCTCAACTCTATGAGTCAAAGTCATCAAAACACGTCCGTTCATGGTCTTAGACGGGACCTCGAGGCTCAAAGGCAAGCAGGAGACCATCAACTGCAAATACCATATGAGAGAGGAACCATAACTCCTGCACAAGAACACAACTGTGTATGTTAGTACCAGAATAAAAGTGGAGCGGAGTAAGAGGATGAGAGTGACATTAACAGCTGAAGCTGAAATGCATCAAGATCATTACCAGCCATTCCTAGAGGAGGAATTGTGTGGCTGAAGAGATAGTCGGGCTAAATAAGTGAGCCTAAGATCAAAATAAGAATGATGATGAGGTCTGTGAAGACTTCAAGGAAAGACTCTTAGTGTTATAAGCTTACAACCAGTACCTGAACCGCTCCAAGATGCAGCGGAGAGCAGATCAGATCATTTTCTGGAGAAAGTACTAAGCCAAGTCCAATATATATACCACTTGGAAGGGTTATGAAGACAAGGGGCTGGGATAGGCCAGGGAAGATACTGTTCCCAACTACTGATATTATTGGGGATCGAACGCTGGCCTGCTGTACCGACCAGTCCAAGTGGTAAAGAGTACGTACATACCTAAGATGCACGTACCTAAACATGCTTGCAGAGTAGAGCGTCAGCTAGGTCCCGATCATCGTCCCTTTAATCCTTTCATGTGACACGGTTTTCTCTTATCATATTTATATCTAGAATTGTGTATAATTGTCCTCCTCCTCTTGTTCACTTAACAAATATTCACTTATAACTCTTACAATTCAATTTTTTCCGAATTTTCTGTGACACATTCTTTCCAGGTTCTTATTCTGGAGGTTTGTCTAATTTGTTAATTCCCCTTAGAATCTCCTACGTCGTTATCATGTCTCTCGTATTACTTCTTTCCTTATGTTTCTCTTGTAGCTCAATCTCTTCGGGTAAGGGAAGAAAAGCATCGTTGCATCTCTGTTGCAACGATGCTTTTCTTCTCTGTTAACAATTTCTTGTTTTGTATTCTTCTGTATGTGGGAGCTGCCTTGATGGCGCTGCATACTCAAGACTGCGTCTAATTAACTGTGGGTCACGTCTCGCCCGGAAAGTTCTTTGGTTAGCTTGGCCTAGACAACAGCGGCCACCACCTGCGTACTCACCTAATTGTGCTAGCTGGTGGTTGAGCTTCGTCTGTTTGGTCCCGCCTCTCAACCGTCAATCAACTGGTGTACAGATTCCTGAGTCTACTGGGCTCTATCATATCTACACTTGAAACTGTGTATGGAGTCAGCCTCCACCACATCACTTCCACATCACTTCCTTCCTTCCTCACTTCCGTTAACCACTCTGACACTAAACAAGTTCTTTCTAAAGTCTCTGTGGGTCATCTGGGTACTCGGTTTCCACCTGTGTCCCCTTGTTCGTGTCCCACCTGTGTCAAACTGTCTTTATCTACCCCAGGGGCGCCTGACAGCTGGGTGGACAGCGCTTCGGATTCGTAGTCCTGAGGTTCCGGGTTCGATCCCCGGTGGAGGTAGAGACAAATGGGCAAAATGTTTCTTTCACCCTGATGCCCCTGTTACCTAGTAGTAAATAGGTACCTGGGAGTTAGACAGCTGCTACGGGCTATACTTCCTGGGGGTGTGTAAGAAAACGGAGGCCTGGTCGAGGACCGGGCCGCGGGGACGCTAAGCCCAGAAATCATCCCAAGATAATCTCAAGACCCCTATCAATTCGTTTGAGAATCTTGTATGTGGTGATCATGTCTCCCCTAGCTCTTTCAGGGACGTGAGGTTTAGTTCCCGTGTGCGTATGCGTGCAAGACTAGCGTGACTCGCCCCGCGTACGTCTACACACGGACGCACCTCACTTCCCTGCCCCCCCCCCCCCAACAGAAAGTGTTGAAGGGGGTTCAACACTTTCTGTTTCCATCCCAAAGAGTTCCTGACCGTCTCCTATCCACCTCCCACTCCAGCCCCGCGGTCTCGCTGGCTCATCCTCCACACCCGGAGCCCCGAGAGTTACACATGAAACTGTTCCTCCTGTCCCTTCCCATCTCTCTCTTCCTCTTCCGCCTGTCCCTTCCCATCTCTCTTTTCCTCTTCCGCCTGTCCCTTCCCATCTCTCTCTTCCTCTTCCGCCTGTCCCTTCCCATCTCTCTCTTCCTCTTCCTCCTGTCCCTTCCCATCTCTCTCTTCCTCTTCCGCCTGTCCCTTCCCATCTCTCTCTTCCTCTTCCTCCTGTCCCTTCCCATCTCTCTCTTCCTCTTCCTCCTGTCCCTTCCCATCTCTCTCTTCCTCTTCCGCCTGTCCCTTCCCATCTCTCTCTTCCTCTTCCTCCTGTCCCTTCCCATCTCTCTCTTCTTCTTCTGCCTGTCCCTTCCCATCTCTCTCTTCCTCTTCCGCCTGTCCCTTCCCATCTCTCTCTTCCTCTTCCGCCTGTCCCTTCCCATCTCTCTCTTCCTCTTCCTCCTGTCCCTTCCCATCTCTCTCTTCCTCTTCCGCCTGTCCCTTCCCATCTCTCTCTTCCTCTTCCTCCTGTCCCTTCCCATCTCTCTCTTCCTCTTCCGCCTGTCCCTTCCCATCTCTCTCTTCCTCTTCCTCCTGTCCCTTCCCATCTCTCTCTTCCTCTTCCTCCTGTCCCTTCCCATCTCTCTCTTCCTCTTCCGCCTGTCCCTTCCCATCTCTCTCTTCCTCTTCCTCCTGTCCCTTCCCATCTCTCTCTTCTTCTTCTGCCTGTCCCTTCCCATCTCTCTCTTCCTCTTCCGCCTGTCCCTTCCCATCTCTCTCTTCCTCTTCCGCCTGTCCCTTCCCATCTCTCTCTTCCTCTTCCTCCTGTCCCTTCCCATCTCTCTCTTCCTCTTCCTCCTGTCCCTTCCCATCTCTCTCTTCATCTTCCTCCTGTCCCTTCCCATCTCTCTCTTCCTCCTGTCCCTTCCCACCTCTCTCTTCCTCTTCCGCCTCCCTTCACCGTGCCACGCTCACCCCCCCCCCCCTCCCCTTCTCTACGACCCCCACCTACTGGAATCCCCCTTTCTTTTCCCCAGGACTCTACCATACGTCCACTTCCTTACTACGTCACCTTCCACTCCACGCAGAAAGGTTCACATATAGCTGACTACTACACTTAAAAAGAGATGCAAATACTACTACTTAGAAGTTAACCAATCAGAGCTAAGAACAAAGATTGCCTAAACTGATATAGCAAAAGGTAAATACTTTTATGTTTCACAATTGACAAGTAGAACTTAAATTGGCATTCACAACACATATCAAAAAGTATCTAATACTGTAGGCATAGTCTCCATGTGCCTCGTTCCGTCTTGATAACACTACATTATTCACTCACATGTCCATAACTTACTCACGGTTTCTGCGTCTGGGGATCTACAACTTAATACAACTACCTCAGCATGAATCAGTAATTAGGACAATAACAAACTACAACCCCAGACAACATGTTCAATAGAAAAGCCGTACTCGCTGTAAAGTGTAGTGTATCTATACAAGTCCTAAGTGCAGTGCTAATCCTGACCCCCAGATGATTAACTGAGCTGGAACTGAACCCACAGACGCCGCGCCACAAACATATCTATTTGGTATTCCTCGAGTAGACTAAAGTCAATCAGAAATACAATGCAAATAAATGGGTCGTAAAGTGTGCAAAGACTTCCCAAATGAATCAAATGTTGTACTTCTTTTAACCGGTACAGAAAGGGAAACAAAGGTACAGTATAAAGGTACAGGCTATATTTAAAGGTACAGTAATTATGAAGAGAAACCACTAAACCATTACGACTATATGGCACTTGGAAGGGACATGAGGACAAGGATTTGGGATGGAACAGAGGGAAGAAATGGTGACCTATCACTTGGACGGCCGGGGATTGAATCCCGACCTGCAAGAGACCTGCAAGAAGGGACGCCACCACAAGAGGTGGCACGGGCATGAGTAACCCGTAGGTGGTATAGATGTTTGGAGTGAATGTAATCTTTGCTTGTGTAACATCTTGAAGCGTGTCTGGGTACCGTCGAGCCCAAGTAACATAATCAAACATTCTTTCATCCTGTGTTTAGTGTTACTGTTAATATTAAATACTGTATATATAGCTATTATAGTTACCACTAAAGGTACAGAATCCAAAACAAAGGAGAAATATACAGCTTTTATCATTACAACACGGAAAGTATAAACCACTGGCCGCATGATTGATGGACCACACCGCCACAACCATCAACGTCTTGATAACAAGCTTCCCTCTTAATCGCTCCCCGTGACTTTCTTGACGTTGTAGCTTACACTTGGGTACCCCTCGGCAGTGTCACGGCAGTGTCACGACAGTGTCACGACAGTGTCACGACAGTGTCACGACAGTAGATGGCCAAGATGGAGACGCAGCATTCAGCTTTCACTGTAATGCTCTCACTTCACCCTGTCATCATTCATTCCTCTCCGGGCTTCCACACACCACACACACACATCCTTCATTCCTCTCCGGGCATGAATGATGCCAGGTGTGTGGAAGCCGTAAGAGGGCATATTATTATATAAAGAAATACAATATTGATTTGACACGAGTTTAAAACAGATGAATCTGCTGGGAAGCTTGGCGTAGATACCACCAGGGAAGCTCCGCACCACACCAGCTTATTAAACCACCACAGCAACTGACATGCAAGCTCACCACAGCAACCGCAGAGGTAAATCAAAGAGGCAAGCAAATGCGATAGAAAATTACCAAGGCAATCACATCCTCACATCTTCACACACATCCCCTTCCCTTTGCCATCGTCTGTGCTGGCAGTGGTGCTGCAAGTGGGCTCCTCGGCTGCTGGACTTCTGATGAGCTCTCGGCACAGCTGGAGGGCGGCCGGATTTATTTTGTTATATTTGTATTTGTATTATTATTTTCTACCACAGACGTGGCCACACATCTGCAATGCTAACCAGCATATATATACACATTTTCTTCTGTCCTCCATGGACAGGGTTAGAGATTTGTTAAACATATAGTTCAGGGATTTATTGAACAATCAACCACAAAAGGTGATTGAGTAGCCAATGTTAACACCGAGAGAACCACGCCACTGCACTCAACTACAAAATGCTTGACGGGTGAGGTTTGGAGCTGCTCCTCGAGCCTGTGAATACTGACAGACAGACAGCTAGCTGAACACAACTGACAGCCATTGAAGCACCGTCCACATATCTGCAAGGACCTCCACTGACTCCCTCAATAGCACCCAAGGGGTCCAAGGGAGCCCACATTCAGCTCTCCATTCTGTACCTGTAACTCCTCGAGAGTCGTCTGCAGGTTGATTCACACGGTGGAGTACAAAGAGAGGGGGAGACAGAGAAAGAGGAGTGAGAGAAAGAGAAACTGGGAACAGGGAGGGAAGTAGAAGATGGAATGTTGACGTAGCGAGTCTCACGAATGTAGAAATGAGGGACGTGAACAAATCCACAGGGGCCGTGGCGAGGATTCGAACCTACGTCCGAGATCATCCCAGACGCTGCCTTAATCGACTGCGTCTGGGATGATCTGAGACGCAGGTTCGAATCCTCGTCACGGCCCTTGTGGATTCGTTCATTGATGTATCACGTTTTTGTGATTTCTGTATGTAGTGTCGTGTACTGTGAGGGACGTGAATTTTAACTGTAGGCAAGGGGCCTGACGGCTGAGTGGACAGCGCTCGGGATTCATAGTCCTAAGGTTACGGGTTCGATCCCCCGGCAGAGGCGGAAACAAATGGACAGAGTTTCTTTCACCCTGATGCCCCCTGTTCACCTAGAAGAAATATGTACCTGGGAGTTAGACAGCTGCTACGGGCTGTTTCCTGGGGAA